GGGCTCAAAATGTCCAAGGGACATTTTGCAAAGAGTGTTTTCAGGGAGATAGTTTGATCTCCTACACCTGTTTGATACATATTAATGTTTAATTAATTAATTAATTAAAAAAATTTAAGAGATGGGGTCTTATTATGTTGCCCAGGCTAGAGTACAGTGTATAGTGGCATGATTGTAGCTCACTGCAACCTCGACCCCTTGGGTGCAAGTGATCCTCCTGCCTCAGCTTCCTGAGTAGCTGGGTCTACAGGTGCACAGCATCACACTAGCTAATTAAAAACATTTTTTTAAGAGACAGAATCTTCCTGTGTTGCCTAGGTTGGTCTTGAACTCCTGGGCTCAAGCGATCCTCCCACCCTGGACTCCCAAAGTGCTGGGATTACAGGCAATGAACCATTATGCCTGGCATTCGCTCCTTTTCCTCACTTTCCTGCCAGTGTTTCCGGGATCACCTTCCAGATAAATTACTTATGCGTGAAGCCTTGTCTCAGAGTCCACTTATAGCGGAAACCAAGCTAAGATTTTATCAAGAGTGGGGATGGGGGAGAGGTGGGAGGGAACAGCCAACAGCCTATAGATATGTCGCCACCCATAGTCACCAGATCAGGTGCACACTCGGTGGTGGCTCATTGAGAAAGCCTCTGCAGGTTGGACAGCCAGTCTGAGATCTTGCCTATATTTTTACAGAGAGTGGACCCTTGGCCACTGTTCAGGGCAAGGAGGGGCCTCCCTGTCTGAGTTCGAGCAGCCCCCATCGTGGCCAGAGTGTGAAAACTTTTCCCAAAGCAAACCCAGTTGATCCACTAAACTCCTCCCCCAGCACCCTGGTTGGTATCTTTTCATCTTGGGCTCATGACTTAGTTCTTCCTTTCCTCGGCCTCTTTACCTGCTAACAAATACAGGTAACCTGTTGTTTTAAATTATCTATTGGTTTTTTTAATGATTATGAAAGTCTTTTTTTTTTTTTTTTTGTATAAAGATCTTTTTTTTTGTTTTTCTCTTTGAGACAGGGTCTTGCTCTGTTGCCCAGGCTGGAGTGTAGTGTTGAAGTCATAGCTCACTGCAGCCTCAGACTCCTGGGCTCAGGTGATCCTCTTGTTTTGGCCTCCCAAAGCACTGGGATCACAGGCATGAGCCACTGCACCTGGCCTGTATAAATCTTTTAAGTACAAATAATATAGAAAAGAAAATTAAAGTCATCTTACAGAAGATTGAATACAACCACAGATTCCTCCCATTGGGAGGTGGGATCTGTGTCCCCTTTGCTTGAACGTGGATGAGCTCTGTGACTGCCTGATCAATGGAATGTGGTACAGATGACTTGGTGCCAGTTTCCAGATCAAGACCTTAGTAGTCTGGAAATTTCTGCTTCCTGTCTGTTGAAACACTTGCTCTTGAAACCCAGCCACCACGCTGCAAGAAGCCCAAGCCACACGGAGAGGGCACATGGGGGTGCCCAGGTGATAGCCCCAACTGAGCTCCTGGCCCACAGCCAACTGCCAGCTGTGGGAGTGACCCATTTTGGGAGCCCAGCCCAATTGAGCTTTGGATTACTCTAGCCCTGGTCATGATCCGACTGCAATGATGTGAGACCCTGCTGAGAACTGCTGAGGCCAGGCGATTCACAGATACGCGAGAGATTATAATACGCTGCTGTTTTTAACTACTAAGTTTTGGAGTAACTCACTCTGCAGCAATAGATACTGGAACATACCTGTAATCCTTCCATCTTGGAGATAACAACTATTAACATTTGGTTTTCCTGCATATATATATATATATATATAT